CCTCCACGGCAGCGCTAAGGATGTCCGACTGCCAGCTTAGGCCCACTCCCCATGGGGAGTGGGACTAAACCATCAGTGGGACATCCCCTGAGGGCTTCCAGGCTGTGAGAGGACACAGGCCGGGCTGAGGGTCCCGCCCCCTCCCAGTGCATAAATTTCATGCACCAGGCCTCTAGTGTATAAATATATTGGATCATCTTAAATTCTCTTCAGTTCCTGGAAAAATGAAATATTAGTACACTTTAAAAAAATAGATATAAATGGAAAGAAGATTTGTCAAAAATGGGACATTTGTGTGTATGAAAATTCAACTAGAAGGCACAGAGTTAGATTAGACCATTTGTACTACAATTTAAGCTGAGTTTAAGATATTAGTATCTAAGATTATATGAAAGGTTTTGAACTTAACACTAAGAAGGTCAGTTCATATCAAAATTAATAGCACTCAAACTAGTAAAGGACAATATTATGAAGCAGATAATATTTGTCTTATATACTTTCTGATTCCTTTTTCTATTCACTTTTTCCAATATTAACTTCCTATTTCCCTTAGTCTTCCATAATGCCAATTCTACCACAGCTGTGATTTCTTTCATGTCACAAAACATGATCTGATACATGTATCATAGTGTTATGGATTCTAAGAACATTTTAAAAGAAGGGTTTAACATTAAAAGAGTGTGCTGATTATGTAAACAAATACATACTTAATAGGATTAGCAGAGACACTTTTGTTGGTGAACCTACTTCACTTACAAATAAGGTCAATCAGAGAGCAACAGTTGCTCTGTGTTATATTTTGTGATCAACTATTCTACTGTCTGAGCAGCAGTTAAGTATAAAGAGTAATAGCATAGTATTTGGACCCAGTGGTTTTGAATCCTGACTCTGACATTTGTAAGCTGTGTACCTTTGGCAAGTTAAGCTTTTTAAGTCTGTTTCCTCATTTGTAAAATAGGGGTACTATTAATACCTTCCTCACATGGTCGTTATGCAAATTGACTGAAATAATGTGAATAAAGTGTTTAATATATAGGAACCACAAAATAATGCTTATTAGTATCTGTCTTCAGAATATGAAAATTATCACAAACTTAATGAATCTACATATTATTTGTGAAGGATATTCATTCTTTAGGAAAGGCCTTAAAAATGTTGGTAGGGTCCCTACTGTGAAAACTGAGGGGTAAAATTCAAAGATACCTTTGGGAATTCAAGTCCATTTGCTTTGATGAGTGAGTACCCATGTTATTCATTAGAGTATTTCAATTAAGACTTACACAAACTTAACTATTATAAAAAATAATTCATAAGTCTGTTGATTCTTTCCTGCTATTGACATTAGCTAGTACTGTACTAACTTTCAACTCAGTTGTTAAAATCATCCTCACCTATTTAGCATAATGACAGTTGAATTTAATTATATTTGTTGACTTTGATAGTTATAGTGATTTAATAATATATTTTATGTTCTTGGCAGGGTTTCTAAAAAAAATCCAAGTGTTAATTGATTAGACATAATTTGATAGGTAAAAATACCCTTTAATCAGCTGAAATTAAAATTGACAGGTTATAGCTTTGACAAATAAATCTCAGAAGGGGCTATTTAAACAATTATTTTAACACTTTTGAAAAAAGTGAAGTCACTCACTAAAAGATAGTGGCAGAACTGAGAATAGCAACACAAGGTCTTTACTACTGTAAGGTTTAATACTTAAAACAATACAGGTGAATACAAGAAAGAAATAACACTTTTTAATGTTAGAGTGGGCTATATTTTATTTTATTTCAGCTTGATACAATGGAATCTTTTTACTCTTTCATTATTTTTCTAGGTTACCCCACGTTGAAACAAATGGCATGGTTTGAAATTAAATGTTAGGTCAGTGCATGAATTGGAAAAAGTCAGAAAAGATATGTATTAAATGGTTAACAGTGACTACCCCTGGGAGAGGGTCTTTCACTTTTTACTTTAGCAATTAAAATTATAGTGGCAAACCAACATAATCAAGAAATCATTTGAAAACAAACTCTGAAGTCTAATTTTATTTGATAAAAAGTTAAATCATGTTAAGGCTAAAAATAAAGTGCTGTGAATCCTATTTAGTGTACCATATATAAATATATACTGAATATATATATATATTACATTGTATATTTATTATGCATTAATCACATATTTTATAATATAGCTGAATATTATATATTTATAATATTACTATATCATATATAAAATAGATATCTAACCACAAATATAGGCATATACATTTTTCTCTTATATTAGCAATACAATTTGAAGACTACAAGTTATAATTTTCATTCATAACAAAAATTTCAGTGACAAAGTTTTCCTTTTAAAAATGGGTAAGAATTTTAAAGAAAGCTCTTTTTTCCTTTTTGCTTTATTTTATTTTTTATTAAAAAGTTTTAATGTTGACATTATTGCAGACTTACCCCATCCCTCCCCCCATTTGCCCAACTCCACCTACACCCTCCTCCCCCTCTTTTGGCCTCCACCTATTGTCTGCATCCATGGGATATGCATATATGTTTTTCAGCTAATCCCTTCACCTTCTTTATCCAATCACCCCCTTAGTTTCCTGTTTGCTTTAAATGTATTATGTTAACTAATAAATACACTGTACTACAAAAGAGGAAAATGATTTTTTCTTAAAATGTTGTTACAAGGTTAGTTTTTGAATCTTAAGAGACATGTAATATAATCAGTAATCAAAAACATACTTAAAAGAGACACTTGGAAATTAATTTGCATCTAATGATATTCATAATAAGTGAAGAGACACAGAGAACATTTTTAAAAGAAAAACATATTTCTTGTTACTAAGCACTAGCCAAGTTTTTACAAATCAACCACTAATTTAATTGTCAGCATCTCATGGGGAGAAATTATATGGTTTTTATTTTTGCTCCTTATTCCGAATACATAGTAGGAGTTCAATAAATGTTTGTTGAACTAAACTCAGTAATAAAGTCAAAGAACTGAAAATACACTGATATAAAAAGAAATGCATCATAAGATTTGGGAACACTGTAGGAGCTTTTAATCATGTAAACATAGCAAGAAATAACCTTGCAGTGGAATTTGGAACAGGACACTAATGCCATATAAGCCCACAAAAAGTGCCAAATGTTAATGTATGTGAATATGAGTATGAAATCCAAACAAATTTTAAGAGCTGAGAGAACCTGGAGATGACAACCTAAATTTGTCTCTTTACAGAAAGAGCATTAAGACACAGAAATTGTAAGCAAATCACTAAAGGTCACACAGCAAATGATATTACAGAGATCAAAACTTTATTTTTAAAATATTTTATTTATTTTTTTAGGGAGAAAAGAAGGGAGAGAGAGAGGAAAGAAGGGAGGGAAAGAGGAAGGGAGAGGAAGGGAGGGAGGGAAGGAGAGAGAGAGAAAATCAATTTGTTGTTCCACTTATTTATGCAATCATTGGTTACTTCTTGTATGTGCCCTGACCAGAGATTGAACCTGCAATCTTGGTGCATTGGGATGATGCTCTAACCAACTGAGCTACCCAGCCAGGGCAAGAGTTCAAAACTTTAGTTACTGTATTTTTCTGAACCAAATATAATATGTTATGTGGTTTGACAAAGGATAAATGAATATAAGACAGAATGTGGTAAGTACCAGAAAGGTACAGATCAGCATTACAGGAGTCAAATCAAAAGCAAGTTCTTTTTCAGAGTAGTGATATTGTATAGCAATTAAGAATAAGGAACCTAGAACCATAACACAGATGTCCAAATCCTGGTGAGCTACTTTTTGCTGTGTAACCTTGAGCAAGTTAATCAATATCTGTGTATCAAGTTTCTCATCTATAAAATAGGGATAGTAGTTTGGCCTATGATAAATATACCCTGTTCTGCTACAAGGTATGTTTATTTACTACAAATTAGCTCACATAAAATTGGTAAAAATGTAATGCTGTCAGAATAAATTTGAAATTGTGTTACACAATTTTATTCAGCATTTTAGTTTTTTGAAGCTGATAGGAACAAGCTTTATTGGAATTAAAGATAAAGCTTTAGTATTATATAAAGACATTAAGAAAGAGCTAAATATCTCATAGAAATACCTTCCTTTCCTGCCAATAGGGTCTTCAAAAACCAATATATTTTACGCTATGTTAAAGTATCTAGGGATCTGGAAGTTAACTGCTTTTTTTTTGGGGGGGGTGTAACAGGTTCCCCTTGGATCATATTTTTAACATAGACAAAATCAATACCTATTAAAAGCAAATTTCTGAAAGGCCCAATATCTTGAAAGAGATAGTATGAGTCCCAAGGTATAAGGATGTGAATGATAGATTATTTTAAATTGTATATGCTAATGGAACTTAAATATACTAATATTTTGATTAGGATTGTTTTTCTTACTGTTGAGATTATGGCTACAAAATTCTATAGGTTTTGAATGGTCTGTCCCAACCTTATATTGCCTATGTTTTTACTATTTTTGTTAGCATTTATGTAGAAAACTTGTTTTTTAAAAAGTTTTTTTTTAAATCAACACCTACATGGTATTATAGCAATAATGCAGTTATCCAATAAACATTAGTAATCATTATTTTTGACAAGGGATAAGTAGCAAAGGCTAAATGAAGGATATTAACAACTGGGCTAAAAGAGTGGTCAGAAATTAAAGAATTAAAAATTGCTGAGAATGGTTTTAAGAGGAGAAAACAACATGAAAAGTTACAGAGATGGAAAAGGAAGTAGTATAATAAGGATGATGAGTTTATTGTATTTCCTTGGTGGGGCACATAATTATGGAAAATGATTTTAGAAATGTGGGTCAATTCCGAAGTGTATGGTGGCAAACAATAAACCTTATTTTAGTCTCTGAAGAAAGATTAACCATTTGACTTGTTTTTTTTTAATTTTTCAAGGTGTTTATTGGTATATTCTAGACCCAGGTAAAATTACTATTCTGTTAACACTGATACCATTTTTTTTGACATATCAAGTATTTCAGTGACTTCATGATTTTCACAATGAAAATGAACTATTTGCTTCAAGTACTTTTGAAAATTTGTAAGTCATTAAACTTTTCCCAATTTACCTAAATCTAAAATATACAAATTAAGTGTGATCCAAACACAGAGATATAGGATATTTAAATGTATAAAATGAACTTGAATGAAAAGAGTAAAAAAAACCCAAAACAAATCAATAAAGTTCTAGCCCCCTAATCCTAGTCACAGAAAAATTTAAATACCATTATTTTCCTGCTCCACTACATACCCACAAGCTTTCTAGCTCCTTATTCAACTTTTAATTGCTGACTTTCCCTTTTGAATTTCAATTGAATCTTCAGTGCTACCAATCCATCTTTTTAAAACCTAATTCCCATTCCCTCAAAGCCATTCCAAACCTTTACTTACCTTTTCAAACCATCAAAACTACTCTGTTGCCCTTACTCTCAGAACATGGCCATGCTTTATGAAGATATACTGACATAATATTTGCTGATTCAACAATATATTTTAGTGTACAATAATATGAATGAGTAAATATCCATATTCTGTTTAATGACCATGTTGGATAAGAATACAAACGGGGCGCCAGAACCGGTTTGGCTCAGTGGATAGAGCATCGGCCTGCGGACTCAAGGGTCCCGGGTTTGATTCCGGTCAAGGGCATGTACCTTGGTTGCGGGCACATCCCCAGTGGGGGGCGTGCAGGAGGCAGCTGATCGATGTTTCTCTCTCATCGATGTTTCTGGCTCTCTATCCCTCTCCCTTCCTCTCTGTAAAAAATCAATAAAATATATTTAAAAAAAAAGAATACAAACGGGGAAGTCTACTTTGATTATTACATTATTCAAAGATTAAGTCAAAAGCTAATAGATCTATCTTGTAATGAAACATGAAAATCCTTGAGCCATATGTACCCATCTCCTTCCCTTCTAAGTTATTTAAATCCCACATCAAACCTGTTAACGGGATGGTCTGATGCCTATCATACTGAAAAGAAAAACAAAAACTGTCTCCTTTTTCACATAATTTTAATCTCATTTTAAAATTTAACATTTTTAAGAGCTTTACAACTGTAACCAAAAGCATTCATGTATAATAAAAAGAAGGCAGCTGGTTGACAATATTTATGCTAATAAATTTGATGTCATTTTAAAAAAGCTTTAAATATCAGTACCCTACTTTGTCCAAAACTACATACTTAAAGAAAGTTTTTAATTAAAATGGGTATGATATTAGATTTTATGGGTTTACTGTTATTTCCAAATCTCAAAATAGGCAAGTCATTGTTTAAAAAATTTATCAAACTTGGCTTCACGGTTGATTTGTGTCTGAACTTTTTCTAAGTTACTCAGTTGATAACTTTGAGTTGGAATGCTGTACTCATTCAGTGAGTATGAATGGGAGTAATATAAGCAAAACTGGCCAAGAAGAGACCTATAAAAATTATTGCTTCCTTAAAAGCAATGAGAAACTGGAAAAAATGATCAGAATTAATATTGTTTTCAGGATTCTTTAAAGTAACCAAAGATTTGCAGCAAGTAGGAAAAATTTATTCAAGAAAAATGGTGGAATCTCTCTAAGAACAGCAAAGTCTGTGTCATTTTCATGTGTCTTATTCTCATTCCCCTGTGTGTGGTAAACCAACAGCCTGAAATCATGGTGAAACCAATATTATAGTAGTCTCCAGATGAGGCAGAACAGGGATGGAGCTCCTTCAATGCCCCATTCGCAGAGAACTTTCACTATTTGACCTATCTAATGGTTGCATGGAAGACCCCACTGGCAAGGCAATCTTTATTTTATCTTACTGAATTAAAATACACTCTGTGTGAAGTGAGTGAAGCCTTTCCCCAGGAGTATTTGTTGAAAACAATTACAAGCCATATTTAGCATTATCTATCTGAGATGGTATTATAAACTAATCAAAATGCTTTAAGAAAAAAACACTTGGGAATGAAATGTTCCTAGAAACTTTAATAAGTTACAACATATTTATGAGGAACCTAAAAAGCCATGGGAGACATAGAGTTATGCATATGCCAATGGTTGTCAATATGTTTGAAAAGAACCTTAGAAGATCCTAAACTAGTCATAAGAAAAGATAAAATAGTGCCATTTGTGAGAACATGGGTGTATCTTGAGAATATCATGCTAAGCAAAATAAGTCAGACAGAAAAAGTTAAGAACCATATGATTTAGCTCACATCCTATATAATATCCTGTGTAATAAAAGCCTAATATGCTAAGTGTCCGGTCATCTGGTTGGCCATTCAACCAATCAAAGCGTAATATGCTAATAATATGCTAAGGCTGCTCAACTGCTCGCTATGACATGCACTGACCACCAGGGGGCAGATGCTCCGACTGGGAGATTAGTTTGCTGCTGGGGTCCAGCCGATCAGGACTGAGCGAGATGGACTGGACATGCCCTGGAGCCCTCCTGCGATCCCACCCTGGCTGGCCAACCTACCGCGTCCCTCCCCAGCCCTGATCATGCACCGGTCCCTCAGCCTGGCCTGGGCCCTCTCGCAATCCAGACTGACGAACAACCCCCCACTGAGTGCACGAATTTTGTGCACTGGGCCTCTAATGTAGGATTAGAATATAAAACTGAAAGCAACAAATGAACGAATAAAAAAAGCAAATAAAAACTCATAGACACAGACAACAGTATAATGGTTACTAGAGAGAAGGAAGGTGGTGAGGAGGGGATAGATAAAGGGTAAAGAAGGTCAAAAATATGGAGACAGATTTTATGTTGGGCGATAGGCACACAATTCAATATACAAATGGTGTATCAAAGAATTGTATAGTTGAAATCTATATGATCTTATTAAACAATGTCATTCCAATAAATTTAATTAAAAAAATGTGCCCTAGCTGGTTTGGCTCAGTGGATAGAGCGTTGACCTGCAGACTGAAGGGTGCTGGGTTTGATTCTGGTCAAGGGCACATGCCCAGGTTGCAGGCTTGATCCCTAGTGTGGGGCGTGCAGAAGGCAGCCGATCAATGATTTGTTCTCATTATTGATGATTCCATCTCTCTCTCTCTCTCTCTTCCTCTCTGAAATAAAATATTTTAATAAATTAATTTAAAAATTAAAATAACAAGGCTCCAAACTTTCACTTCTGGCTGAGAATGAGGCTCTGGAAAAGCATGTAATCACTGCTACGGCAGAGTTATTAACAAACAGAAAGTCTCTCAGCAAAGACTGGGAGATGAAGTGTTTCCAAGCCTTTAACAAAGTTTCTGTGCAATCATAAGCTGACTATTAAACTACCTGAGCAAGGAATTTACTTATTAGACATGACAAAGATATACATTTAAAGAAATGTTATAGAAAAGTCACTAAGCAGTAATAACAAATAGCAAAAATAATGAACCATAAGGAGGGAGGAAAATTTCATTTCCAGTGTAGTTGCATTATAATAAGTAAATTAATTAGAGTGACTAAAGAACATGTTTGGGTAGTATGGACATTTTAATTATGCGAATTTTTCCTATCCATGAACACAGTATATGCTTCTACTTATTTGTATCTTCCTTGATTTCTTTCTTCAGTATCTTATAATTTTCTGAGTATAGGTCTCTTACCCCCTTGGTTAAATTTATTCCTAGGTACCTTACTTTTGTTGCAATAGTAAATAGGCTTGTTTTCTTCATTTCTCTATTTGATAGTTCAGTATTGGTGTATAAAGTGCCACTGATTTCTGAATATTAATTTTGTTTCCTGCTACTCTGCCAAATTCATTTATTAGATCTAGTGGAGGCTTTAGGGTTTTCTATATACAGTATCATGTAATCTGTGAATAATGACAGTTTTATTTCTTCCTTCCCAATTTGGATGTCTTTCACATCTCCTTTTTTTATTTCTATGGCTAGTATTTGCAGTACTATGTTGAATAAGATTGTGGGACTACAACAAAATAAAAAGCTTTTGTACAACAACAACAACAACAACAACAACAAAAAACATCAGCAAAATAAAAGGGAAAGCAACTGAATGGGTGAACATATTTCCTAATGTCATATCTGATAAGGGGTGAATTTCCAAAATATAAAACAACTTATACTACTCAACACCAAGAATACAAACAACCCAATTTTTAAAAAATGGCAAATGATCAGTATAGACACTTTGCAAAGAGGACATACAGATGGCTAATAGACATATGAAAAATGTTCGACGTCACTAATTATCAGAGATCTCTTCCTTCCTCTCTAAAATCAATAAATATAAAAATAATA